CGCACCAAGCCAGGGGCGCGTGTCGTCAGTCCGGCTCCGGCCAGCGGGGCTAGACCGGACCAGGGGCGCTATGGGGGGTTGATTGGAGGGTGGTGGGCAAGGCCGGAGCCAGAACCGCCGCCGAGGAGGTATGCCCACCCAGTCCGCGCCTTTAGGGGGGGGTACTGTCACACCCTGGCTCTGGGACTCTATTTGTTGAGCCAGGGTGTGTTTATTCTATGTGTTCTGTATCTATGTTGGGTGTTCTAGGTTGTGTTTTTCTATGTTGGCCTGAGTGACTCCCAATCAGAGGCAACGAGTGTCAGCTGTTTGCTGGTTGTCTCTGATTGGGAGCCATATTTAAACTGTCGGTTTTCCTTTGTGTTTTGTGGGTTCTTGTTTCAAGTTGGTTGTGTTTTACCGTGTACTGTCACGTTAACGTCTTTTGTTGTTTTCATCACGTTTCGCTAATAAACGAGTATGTTTGCCTGCAACGCTGCGCCTTGGTCTACTCCTTACCCTGACGTTCGTGACACAGGCGCAGGAAGGAAAATCACAGAATAACAGGCTTTATTCCTCAACCACAGAGTTACGCAGTAAAGAGTTAAAAAAATCCAGTGCGCAAAACAGGCGCACTGGAAAATACAAGGCACACAGGGAAATATCCCAGTGATACAAAATACAAGGAGCTCCACCGAGCTTCACTACTCTCCACAATAAACAATCACACACAAAGACAAGGGGGCAGAGGGAACACTTATACAGGTACTGATGAGGTGTGTGTAATAAACAGGTGTGAACCAGGTGTGTGTAATAAACAAGACAAAACCAATGGAATGATGAGATGAGGAGAGGCAGTGGCTAGAAGGCCGGTGACGACGAACAAGGAGAGGAGGCAGCTTCGGAGGAAGTCGTGACAGTGTGTGTGTGTGTGTGTGTGTCGTGTATGTCTAATCTGTGTGTCTCATCTACTGTGTGTGCGTGTGTGTGTGTGTGTTTTATTCCAGGTTTCCCCCTGTGAGTGAGAAGTCTAAGGTGGGGAAGGTGGTCGGGGTCATACTGGCTGCAGCTGTCAATCAAACTATCATCTACTCCATAGTGGAGGGCAACGAGGGAGGTGAGTAGTAATAGACTATAACCTACACTGTACCTTTGACCTAGTTCCAGAGGTCATGTTGTCATTTTCTATACAGCAGTGATAGTCCCACTCGTTTATTCTGACACACTATAAACAACATGAAGTAGTAAGGACCCTCAGAGGTCACTCACAGAGCCATACATACAGAAATATACACCTCAATACGGCTCTATATGGCTCTATACACCTCTATACGGCTCTATATGGCTCTATACACCTCAATACGGCTCTATACACCTCTATACGGCTCTATACACCTCAAAACAGCTATATACACCTCTATATGGCTCTATACACCTCAAAACAGCTATATACACCTCTATATGGCTCTATACACCTCTATACGGCTCTATATGGCTCTATACACCTCAATACGGCTCTATACACCTCTATACGGCTCTATGCAGCTTTATACACCTCTATACGGCTCAATACGCCTCTATACGCCTCTATACACCTCTATACGGCTCTATACACCTCTATACGGACCTATACGCCTGTATACGGTGCTATACACCTCTATGCGGCTCTATACACCTCTATACATCTCTATACAGCTCTATACACCTCTATATGGCTCTATACAGCTCTATAAAACTCTATACAGCTCTATATGGCTCTATACAGCTCTATACGGCTCTATACACCTCTATGCAGCTCTATACACCTCTATACAGCTCTAAACACCTCTATACACCTCTATACGCCTCTATACACCTCTATAAACCTCTATACAGCTCTATATGGCTCTACACAGCTCTATACAGCTCTATAAACCTCTATGCGGATCTATACACCTCTATACAGCTCTATACACCTCTACAAACCTCTATACACCTCTATATGGCTCTATACAGCTCTATAAACCTATATGCGGCTCTATACACCTCTATATGGCTCTATACACCTCTATAAACCTCTATGCGGCTCTATACACCTCTATACAGCTCTAAACACCTCTATACACCTCTATACACCTCTATACGGCTCTGTACACATCTATACGCCTCTATACACCTCTATATGGCTCTATACTGCTCTATAAACATCTATACACCTCTATATGGCTCTATACAAATCTATAAACCTCTATACGGCTCTATAAACCTCTATACAGCTCTAAACACCTCTATACATCTCTATACGCCTCTATACACCCTCTATATGGCTCTATACAGCTCTATAAACATCTATACACCTCTATATAGCTCTATACAGCTCTATAAACCTATATACACCTCTATATGGCTCTATACAGCTCTATAAACCTCTATACACCTCTATATGGCTCTATGCAGCTCTATACGGATCTATACGGCTCTATACACCTCAATACGGCTCTATACACCTCTATATGGCTCTATACACCTCTATACACCTCTATATGGCTCTATACAGCTCTATAAACCTATATGCGGCTCTATACACCTCTATATGGCTCTATACACCTCTATAAACCTCTATGCGGCTCTGTACACCTCTATACAGCTCTAAACACCTCTATACACCTATATACACCTCTATATGGCTCTATACAGCTCTATAAACATCTATACACCTCTATATGGCTCTATACAGCTCTATAAACCTCTATACGGCTCTATACACCTCTATACGGCTCTATACTGCTCAATACGCCTCTATACGGCTCTATGCAGCTCTATACGGCTCTATACGGCTCTATACACCTCAATACGGTTCTATACACCTCTATATGGCTCTATACACCTCTATACACCTCTATATGGCTCTATACGGCTCTATACACCTCTATACACCTATATACGGCGCTATACACCTCAATACGGCTCTATACACCTCTATACACCTCTATACGGCGCTATACACCTCAATACGGCTCTATACACCTCTATACGGCTCTATACGGCTCTATGCAGCTTTATACACCTCTATACGGCTCAATACGCATCTATACACCTCTATACACCTCTATACGGCTCTATACACCTTTATACGGCTCTGTACACCTCTATACGCTTCTATACACCTCTATATACATCTATACAGCTCTATGCGGCTCTATACGGCTCTATACACCTCTATGCGGCTCTATACACCTCTATATGGCTCTATACGCCTCTATACATCTCTATACAGCTCTATAAACATATATACACCTCTATATGGCTCTATACAGCTATATAAACCTATTTACAGCTCTATATGGCTCTATACAGCTCTATACAACTCTATAAACCTCTATGCGGCTCTATACACCTCTATACAGCTCTATACACCTCTATAAACCTCTATACACCTCTATACGCCTCTATACACCTCTATATGGTTCTATACACTTCTATACACCTCTATACACCCCTATATGGCTCTATACAGCTCTATAAACCTCTATACACCTCTATACACCTCTATACGGCGCTATACACCTCTATATGGCTCTATACACCTCTATACACCTCTATACGGCTCTATACACCTCTATACGGCTCTATACACCTCTATACGGCTCTATACGCCTCTATACACCTCTATACAGCTCTATGCGGCTCTATATACCTCTATACAGCTCTATACACCTCTATATGGCTCTATACAGCTCTATAACACTCTATACACCTCTATATGGCTCTATACAGCTCTATACTGCTCTATACACCTCTATATGACTCTATACAGCTCTATAAACATCTATACACCTCTATATGGCTCTATACAGCTCTATAACCCTCTATAAACCTCTATATGGCTCTATACACCTCTATACACCTCTATATACCTCTATAAACCTCTATACACCTCTATATGGCTATATACAGCTCTATACGGCTCTATACGGCTCTATGAACCTCTATAAACCTCTATACACCTCTATATGGCTCTATACAGCTCTATACTGCTCTATACACCTCTATATGACTCTATATAGCTCTATAAACATATATACACCTCTATATGGCTCTATACAGCTCTATAACCCTCTATACACCTCTATATGGCTCTATACAGCTCTATAAACCTCTATATGGCTCTATACACCTCTATACAGCTCTATACACCTCTATACACCTATATACAGCTCTATAAACCTCTATACACCTCTATATGGCTCTATACACCTCTATACAACTCTATATACCTCTATAAACCTCTATAAACCTATATACACCTCTATAAACCTCTATACAGCTCTATAAACCTCTATACACCTCTATATGGCTCTAGTCAGTCATCTGCCCTGAGAAAGCATCCTTTTTTTGGCCCTAAGTCTACCAAAGTGTGTGTGTATATGTGTGTGCCCCAGTCATGACAGAGTTACTGTCATGAAAAAGCGCCCTGAGGGATGATTAGACCTGTACATCCTCCCATCGTTCCTCACTGTGATTAAAACCTGGGCTCCTGCCTCTCAGAGTGTGAAAAGATTCAATTGCATCCCCATACTGAGCCTCGCATTCAACTACATCTGGAGCGTTTAGTCATCTGAAGACAAAGGGAGTTGGCTTCGCTTTTAACTCTCATTAGATTCAATGAAGAAGCACCAGGAAGATTCACTGTTGTTGAATTCAAGGTTTATGGCATACTGGGAGGACATAATTGTAGGTCTGAAAATAAGGGGGAGTGAGATGAGTGCTAGCTATGCTCTTCGGTGCATTCCTGCTGTGCATGTGCATCAATTATGCCTTACACAAAATCAATCAGTGACTAAGTGATTTTCCAGTCTAGTGTCATTTCTTTCTGGTGTCGTGCCTCAACACGTGACACCACACACAGTGGGATTTGGGGAGGTGAACGGCCTTGTCATTCTACCCAAGGATTGATACAGTATGAAATGATATGGAGCTGACTCTTAACTGTATTCTGTTGATCGGTATGTTTTTGACTATGTTTTCGTCCTCTCGCAGGTGTGTTCAGGCTCAACAACAACACCGGGGTGATCTCTACAGTCAAGCTGCTGGACCATGAGACCAACGCCAGCTACAGCCTCAGAGTAGAGGCTGACTCCATGGGGGTGGTCGAGTCCAATCTCCGAGCGCCCTCCAAGAGTAAGCCTGCCTGCCATTCAAACTGTCACTTAGAAAATGGCAACCTGTTTTCTTATATAGTGCATTACTTTTGACCAGGGCTAAAAGCCTTCTGTAGCTTCTGAGATAATGGCCTCAGAGAGACTTAAAAACGGAAGGCAATGGTTGGCCCAAAAGCCTTTTACAACCTTATTTTAGACGGAGTAATTGAAATTCACATTCTTATTTCTGCCGTCTCTCTGTTTGTCTCTCTTGTAACAGAAATGTGGCATTTGCCTGTAAATTATTTCCCATCTTTGCTTTTTCCAAAATACTTAAAAGCACGCCTCATCCTTTCACGATATTTTGCTTTCTGAGTAGTCAAATTCATGCTGAGTTGCGGAGGAGGAGGAGGAGTAGGAGGAGGAGACATTTTGATTTAGCAGTTACTGGTAAATGTGGCAGATAAAAAATAAAAAAATGTATCCTTTCTTGACAATCTCATCATGTCTCCTCAATATGCAGAAACAATCACTCAAATCAATTTGATTACAATAACACTGTCATCCTCTTATGTCTAAATGCCAACTTAGTCGATTCTAGAATAAAAGAGGCTTGTAGAGATTTGATTAGGCCAGTGATCACTGTTGTATGTTATGCCCAGATTACAATTAGAATTACATTCAGCATTTCTTTCTCTACTCAAACTCAATTGACTACTATACCCAGGCCACTCACTGTGTGTTATTCAAGCTGGGGGGGGGGGGGGGGGGGAGCAGGCCTGGTAGCTATATTTGAGATGTGGTGGAAGTTTCATCATGGGGGGGGCTATTGATGTTGTTTGATTCATTCCGCTGGAGGGAGGTAGCGTGTTAAATGGCTGCTCTCGAGCAGAGAGTGGATGGGTACTCCCCACTGCGTTTGGCTATGTAGGTGACCATCATCACTGTATTATGAAGACACTTGGTTGAATTGATTCGAGCCACATCACTGATTATGCAGGGGTGTGTGTGTGTGTGTGTGTGTGTGTGTGTGTGTGCACAGTGATGTGGCTCGAATCAATTCAACCAAGTGTCTTCATAATACAGTGATGAGCATGTGTGTGTGTGTGAGAGCGTGCAAGCATGCAAAAAGTGTAAAAAAAAAGTAGGCCATTACCACTTTAAGAATAATACAATATTTAGACTCTGCCATTGCATTGATAATCAAATTATTATTACATTCTAAAATATGTGATTTTTGTGTCCATGAAAACTGTTTCACCCCATAACATAAGGATGCACGAAATGTTAAGTAGTTACACTGCATTTCTGAGATCTCTACACAAAAAACTGTCCGACAGCTAGATTCAGGATTCTTACAGGGTTCAAATTCAATGTCTAATTTAACTGATTAATGCTTAATATATGACATAACAACAACTTACACTGCCATAAATGCAAGGAGAAAAAGGAAATGTTTTATTTCACACTATTTTGGACAAATCCATCAACACTCCAACCATGAGAACATTGGATGCTGCTGAGGGGAGGACAGCTCATAATAATGGCTGGAACGGAGCTATTGGGATGGCATCTAACACCTGGAAACCATGTGTTTGAGGTATTTGACACCATTCCACTGATTCTGGTCCAGTCATTACCACAAGCCCGTCCTCCCCAATTAAGGTGCCACCAGCCTCCTGTGCATGAGAAAGGGTTAAACAAAGGGTTTTAAATCAAGTCGTGAATTGTATTGAATATAGCTATGTTCCCCTGGTAGTCTGTCCTCCTGGTCTGTCCCCCTGGTCTATCTTCCTGGTCTTTCCCCCTGGTCTGTCCTCCTAGTCTGTCCCCTTGGTCTGTCCTCCTAGTCTGTCCCCTTGGTCTGTCCTCCTAGTCTGTCCCCCTGGTCTGTCCTCCTAGTCTGTCCTCTTGGTCTGTCCTCCTAGTCTGTCCCCCTGGTCTGTCCCCCTGGTCTGTCCTCCTGGTCTGTCCCCCTGGTCTGTCCCCCTAGTCTGTCCTCTTGGTCTGTCCTCCTAGTCTGTCCCCCTGGTCTGTCCCCCTGGTCTGTCCTCCTGGTCTGTCCCTCTGGTCTGTCCCCCTGGTCTGTCCTCCTAGTCTGTCCTCCTGGTCTGTCCCCCTGGTCTATCTTCCTGGTCTTTCCCCCTGATCTGTCCCCCTGTTCTGTCCTCCTGGTCTGTCCTCCTGGTCTGTCCCCCTGGTCTGTCCCCCTAGTCTGTCCTCCTAGTCTGTCCTCCTGGTCTGTCCCCCTGGTCTGTCTTCCTAGTCTGTCCTCCTGGTCTGTCCCCCTGGTCTATCTTCCTGGTCTTTCCCCCTGATCTGTCCCCCTGTTCTGTCCTCCTGGTCTGTCCTCCTGGTCTGTCCCCCTAGTCTGTCCCCCTAGTCTGTCCTCCTAGTCTGTCCTCCTGGTCTGTCCCCCTGGTCTGTCTTCCTGGTCTTTCCCCCTGGTCTGTCCCCCTGTTCTGTCCCCCTGGTCTGTCTGTCCTGGTCTGTCTATCCTGGTCTGTCCCCCTGGTCTGTCCCCCTGGTCTGTCCCCTTGGTCTGTCTTCCTGGTCTGTCCCCTTGGTCTGTCTTCCTGGTCTGTCCCCTTGGTCTGTCTTCTTGGTCTGTCCCCAGGTCTGTCCCCCTGGTCAGCCCCAGAGCATTTTGTCAGATGATGTATGGCATTTTATTTGGCGGGTCCCTCTGCGTATTTGTAGCCCTTCAGGATGTGGCCTGGCATTTTACTATGATCAATGACAAACCGCAATGCAGTGTTGTACTATTTTAGTCAAACGTCTAAATCAGTGTATTGGCAGTGTATTGTAGACTTTGTATTTTGTATATGATGCACATTTGGCTATTTAGAGCTCTAGTTTTCTATTTAATCCAAATGAGATTCAAATTTGTCTTTGGGGTCATCTTTACATATTTTGTTCTTGCTCCTCTGTTTGCAGCCAACACAGCGAGGGTGTTCATTGATGTTCTGGATGAGAATGATCACCCTCCTGTCTTTACCAAACCCTTGTACCTGGGAGGAGTGGCCGAGGACGCCAAGACATTCACTTCTGTACTACAAGTCCAGGTACACCCAGCTCCTTTCAAACACAAAGTGGACCACTTCTAGATAGTGCAATTGGTGTCTAAAGAGGACAACTAATTCGTTTCTAAAAATTGAACTTTTCTAAAATGGAACGATCAAACTACGATCACTCCTCCTTACGATGCAACCAGCCAAAGGTACAAAAAGGTTTAACGCCCACAAATGTGTCTGGTTGAACTATTATCTGTGTTTGCATTTGAAATGCAGTGTTTTGTAGTTGTAATCTTTGACACGTGTGCTGATAATGCCTGACTAGCTGGAGGATCTTTGACCTGTGTTGATAATGCCTGACTAGCTGGAGGATCTTTGACCTGTGTTGATAATGCATGACTAGCTGGAGGATCAACCATCTCAGACTTTCAGACACCTCTGACAATACTTAGAATGCTAAGGCCGTAGAGGCTCGCAGATAACATCTCCACACATCTGTCAATAGCATGCTGCAAAGTCCTGTGTGAAAGGGAATTATCCCCTGTGTGCACCGGGGTGTGTAGTTGTCAGTTTTTCACACCATTGTAGCTAAAGCCTGTTGGGAGTGTGCTCAGACTGAGACTGTGGGTGTGTGTGTGGGTGGGTGTGGGTGTGTGTGTGGGTATCTGTGGGTGGGGGTGGGTGTGGGTGTGTGTGGTTGGGTGGGTGGGTGTGGGAGTGTGGGTCATTTGCATTTATTTTTAATTTTTTTGGGGGGGGGGTCGAAGTGAGGAGGGGGGTTATTGCTCCATTCGACTGTTGTTGCTCCAGTCAGGCTAGGGTAGAACACACAGTCACAAACAGGTTTGCCAGGAGCCTCTAAAAAGAGCTAATCCTTTAGACCAGGAGGTAATGGAATTACTGGGTCAAAGATTTACTGAACTGACATCAAATAAAATCAAATGTTATTTGCCACATACGCCAAATACAACAGGTGTAGAAATTACAGTGAAATGCTTACTTACAAGCCCTTAACCAACAATGCATTTTTTTAAGAAAAAAAAAGGGGAAAAAATGGTTAAGTAACAAAATTAAAGCAAATAACTAAAGAGCAGCAGTAAAATAATATAACAGTAGGGAGGCTATATACAGGGGGGTACCGGTGCAGAGTCAATGTGCGGGGGCACCGGCTAGTCGAGGTAATTTAGGTAATATGTACATGTGGGTAGAGTTAAAGTGACTATGCATAAATAATAAACAGAGTAGCAGCAGCGTAAAAGAGGGGGTGGGGGTGGGGGGTCAGTGCAAATAGTCTGGGTAGCCATGATTAGCTTTTCATGAGTCTAATGGCTTGGGGGTAAAAGCAGTTGAGAAGCCTTTTGGACCTAGACTTGGCGCTCCAGTACCGCTTTCCGTATGGTAGCAGAGAGAAAAGTCTATGACTAGGGTGGCTGGAGTCTTTGACAATTTTGAGGGCCTTCCTCTGAGTGGTATAGAGGTCCTGGATGGCAGGAAGCTTGGCCCCAGTGATGTACTGGGCCGTACGCACTACCCTCTGTAGTGCCTTGCGGTCGGAGGCCGAGTAGTTGCCATACCAGGCGGTGATGCAACTAGTCACAATGCTCTCGATGGTGCAGCCGTATAACTTTTTGAGGATCTGAGGACCCATGCCAAATCTTTTCAGTCTCCTGAGGGGGAATAGGCTTTGTCGTGCCCTCTTAACGACTGTCTTGGTGTGTTTGGACTATGATAGTTCGTTGGTGATGTGGACACCAAGGAACTTGAAGCTCTCAACCTGTTCCACTACAGCCCCAACGATGAGAATGGGGGCGTGCTCAGTCCTCTTTTTTTTCCTGTAGTCCACAATCATCTCCAATCATCTCCTTTGTCCAATCACATCTCGTAACGGTAACATTCAACTTCTCAGGTGTTTCACTCACAGTCAGGTTCAAAATCTTCATCTATAGTATTCATGCCTATTCCCTGTTTCTTTACTAATAGGAAATTCATTGCAGATCTGAATATGATCTCTGTAAAAGCCGCGCAGCATCCCCAAGATTAGGCTAATCTACTTTTAAATCCTTCTTTAAACAGGAGCGTCGGCACTGTAGAAATAAATAATAATTTGTCTTCTGAGTGACACACATTGTCTGTGATTGATCTCATAATCAGTACATTTGAACACAAAACAAGTCGCACTTGATGGAATGTGTTTGTGTCCCTGTTACAGAGAGGAAAGCGGAATATCTGCAAATAACACATCCAATTTCACAGCAAATCAGCCTCAAATCAGAACCACAGCTTCAAACAAGTTGGGGTGGCTTTCATAACACAGTCAACAGCCTTCTTCTCGCTCTAATGCTTGGTGCAGTCTTTGTGTCACATGTTCACACTGCATTCATACACTGGTGTCTTCATTCCTGGTCTGGTCTGGTCTCATCAATAACTAACCCAGGGGGTGAATTCTGTTACCAGAGAACCTTTACATATACAGTATATAGTGTGAGATGCAAATGGGTTGCAGAATATTGAAAATATCTCATTAGTGTGAATGACTTCGGCGGGGCAGGGCACATTGCTGTCTCTGCTCCTTAACACTCAGTCTCAGTCGTAAAAAAAATAGGTCTAATAAATCAATGTCACTGCAAAGCAACAAGGCAACCTGTGAAATCAGCTGCGTCCCTGTTAAAGAGAGAGTGGCTCGCAGCTCGAAGACTCCACCTACAGCAGGAATTGAGAACTACAACCTCTCCAAACGATAAAACAAATCTGTGCCCTTTGAATTTTCAATGGATGAGCTGGTTGGTATCTTGATGTTATGTTGTTGTTCTTGTTGTTGACGCTGCTGTGTTTGAACCTCTTGAATGCTTTGACTCTCTGTGTGTGTGTGTGTGTGTGTGTGTGTGTGTGTGTGTGTGTGTGTGTGTGTGTGTGTGTGTGTGTGTGTGTGTGTGTGTGTGCGTGTGCGTGTGGCGTGCATGCGTGTCTCTGTCTCAGGCCCTGGACAAGGACACAGGGAATTACAGCTCCATGCAGTACAGGCTCGTTATCCCCCCCACCACCAATGGCAAGGACGGCTTTGTCATCGAGCCCTACACCGGTGTCATCAAGACTGCCATTATGTACAGGAACATGCGCCGGTCTTACTTCAAGTTCGAAGTGGTCGCCACTGACAATTACGGCGAGGGGGGACTGAGTAGCAAGGCAGAGGTGGTGGTGAGTGTTTTTCCTGTTCCCATAGAATTGAATGGAGATGCCCATTTTAGTAACTATAGTTCTATGGCTGTGCACTTTCCTCCGTGAAAAGCCATTGGTCTGGTCTCTGAGTCTTTGTTCATTGCTCAGTTCAAGTTCCATCAGTCCCGCCTAGTTTTTCATACTCCATGCCAGCTATGAACAATTCTAGCTTGTGGACCTTTAAGTGTGTGTCAATACCTTCACTACCCATGTTTACACTGGCACTACATACCTCTCCTCTCCTCCCAAAATACACATTCAAAGCTTCACATAGGAATTGCATTTGTAGAAAGACACAGTAGCGATACTCCAGCTAATCAGCGATCTGTGTCCGGTGCCAGCCTTGTGGTAGGTAGGCTAGCTATCCCTGAGAGAGTAGATGAATGTGTGTTCCTTCCGTGCTGGCCGCTTCCCAGCTTGTTGCAAATTGAACTGTCCCAGGGCATATGGGGATCATTGATTATACATTACAGCCCTGTCCTGCCCATTCTTCTCTTGGCCAATGAAACAAGGGGCTGGCTGGGCCAGAGCCCTGCCTGAACGAGAGGAGCCACACTGTGGCTAAATTAATCGAATTCTAACGGGAAGCTTCGTTTCATGGGGACTGCATAAAGGAACCTTCCCGCCAAACTACAGGGAGAGGTCCTGTCTGGTTTAGCCTGCTGTCCAAAATTAATGTTAGGGAGGGGATGGAAAAGTAGATGCTGGTTTTGTGTCTGTCACGTTGATGATTTGATTGAATTCTGTTTCCCAGGTATCCGTGGTGAATCTGTTGGATATGCAGGTGGTGGTCTCCAATGTTGCTCCTACAGTGGTGGAACAGAACAAGGATAAGCTCCTCGGGTAATGTAGAAGATATCTAATCTATTATAATTCAATTAAGAAGGATATCGCATCCGTCTTTTAACATTCAAGTCGTGACTGAACTTGATATGCAAGTGACTCACTTTAGCAACATTTACAATTGGCCCTTTCCCAGGCGTGCAGGTGTTTGAGGGGGCTGCATGATTCAGAGTTGATTTGATCGTCGCCTTCTACCGAGATGAAAATGTGTCCCGCTGTTTGATGGCTGCTCAAATTAAAGTGTCAGGCGACGCGAGCCTTCCTTCAGTCTTCATTCGAGCCTCTCCCCACCTGCCTCTTCAGTTCTATCGGAGCTCTGTCATACACTTCACACAGCCACTCCCCAATGGTTCCCTCCTTGTCTTGAGCTTACTGCTTAGCTATTGGCATTGTGAACATCAGTAGAAGTCTAACTTCTCTCTGAAGCTAAATTGCAAAAGAGGAAAAGTGCCAGTGGCTCCTTAGCTGTCTCCTGTTCCTCTGGGGGTGGGGTGTTAGTCTGCACGTGTGAATTCCAGCATATCTGTGTGAGCTCGCGTGTATTGGCTGTACTGCTACTGTACACCTGTCCATCACCCAACGTATCCTCCTACTGACACAGTCAACCAGTATCAGTCCTCCTGATGGACTTTCTCTGACTGGGCCTCCACTTTCGCTCCCAGAGCTACGGCCCCAGCTGTGGAGCCACCTAGTTTATCAGTGTTGTCCCCCTACCAAGGGGAGACACATCCACCTGGTCTCAGTTCTGTCATCCTCTTTGGCATTTCCCAGGGGAGAGGGAACATCCAGGGCTCAGCAGGTAATTGGCTCAACACCTACCTTGCTTTCCCTCTGAGCTCAGAGGGATAAATATTTTGTCTTGCCCATTCACCCTCTGAATGGCACACACTCAATCCATGTCTCAATTGTCTCGAGGATTAAAAATCCTTCTTTAACCTGTCTCATCCCCTTCATCTACACTGATTTGAAGTGGATTTACTAAGTGACATCAATAAGGGATCATAGCTTTCACCTGGATTCACCTGGTCAGTCTATCTCATGGAAAGAGCATGATGTTTTGTACACTCAGTGTAAATCACCATTGAACATTTTCCCAGAGATCCTGCTGTCACCTTGTTCTTATACAAAGCACCTGATGATTGCTTCCTCTCCCTCTGCAGGGTCCTGGAGCGCTATGTGCAGGACCAGATTCCAGGGGCCAAAGTGGTGGTGGAGTCCATCGGACCGCGGCGGTTCGGTGACGGCTTCGAGCAAGAGGACTACTCCAAGTCGGACCTGATGGTGTACGCTATCGACCCTCTGACCAACAGGGCCATTTCACGCCAAGAGCTGTTCAAGTGAGTAGCCTGTCACTACGGTGGCCCTGAGTTTATAACTAAAGTGATTGCCCCCCTTAGGGCCACCCTCTGCAGTATCCAGATACGCCATCCCTGTGGAGCAGGTGTTTACCCAGTGACAGACAGAGGGGGGAAGTCACTACTCACCAGAGTTGTTTTGTTCCCTGTCACCCTGCAGTCAGGCCCTCATTAGAGAGCCAACCACATGCCCTAGTACGACAGCAGCCCCGGTTCTGCCATTCAACTGGCTGACAACCGGCTAACCCACCACTCTGTACTGCTCCCTACCCACTCTCCACATCTAACCGCCCTCTGCCTCTTTCAGCTCCACAGCGTGACAAATGGACCTAGTGAACAATGGCAACATAATTGTGTAGCAGTGTGTCCCCACACCTATCATTTATGCCTCCGGCCATTACAGGGAGTAGAGTGTTGCTCTCTGTGTTCCATTGTTCGTACTTAGATTTAACTGATAGATATCATACTGATTTTCTCATGCACATAATTGGTATATGACTGGATACATTCGTTTTTTCCTGACCACTTAACTATAACTAAGTCCTGGTCAGGTCAGGTGAGGTGATCAGGAAAAACTCCAGGCCCTCTGACTGATGGGGATGCTGATGATGATGATTGTAATGATGTGATAGTGATGATGATGACTATGTGTGGGTGTGTGGGTGTGTAACTATACTACATGTAATCTGTGTGTTTCCATCCGAGGTTTCTGGATGGGAAGCTGCTGGACATCAACAAGGAGTTTCAGCCGTACCTGGGCCGAGGCGGGAGGATCCTGGAGATACGCTCCCCTGACGTGGTGACCAGCGTGAAGAAGGCCGTGCAGACCGTGGGCTACACCGAGGGGGCGCTGCTCGCCCTAGCCGTCATCATCATCCTCTGCTGCATCCCCGCCATCCTCATCGTCATCATCACCTACAGGCAGTGAGTAGAAAGAACAGTTAGTTCAAAGTTCAAATGCTTTATTGGAAGTACATTATGTGTCAAATGGGAATGTGAGGATGAATAGCCCACAAGGCACAAGTACTGGTGCAGACAGACACAGTGGTGCAGACAGACACAGTGGTGCAGACAGACACGGTTGTGCAGACAGACACGGTGGTGCAGACAGACACGATGGTGCAGACAGACACGGTGGTGCAGACAGACACAGTTGTTTAGACAGCACTTTACCTGCTTTCCAGCCCTCAGAGGCTGTCCCTAATGCCCATCATTTTAGAAGGAAGCAAGCTTTCTCTCCGCAATTCACCATGGAAACTCCTTTGAGCGCCGGCATAATCGTCTATTTATACAGCGTGAAAGCACATTAATTAATGTCAGAGCAGATAAACACTGCAGACTGATTGTTGTGGTTTGGGGTAGATTTTCTCCCTCTGCTCTGAGCCTGCGAACCAAACCGAGCAGCATATGGCTAGACTGAGAGCCGTCACGATTTCAAGACTGACAGCGTCACCATTTCAGGGCTAGACTGACAGCCGTCACCATTTCAGGGCTTGACTGACAGCCGTCACGATTTCAGGGCTTGACTGACAGCCATCACGATTTCAGGGCTAGACTGACAGCCATCACGATTTCAGGGCTAGACTGACAGCCGTCACGATTTCAGGGCTTGACTGACAGCCGTCACGACTTCAGGGCTAGACTGACAGCCGTCACGATTTCAGGGCTAGATATTAAACAGATGAGAAAAGAATCCTCTGTGTCATCTTCATCAGTGTCTCAGCTTCAGGAAAGTGGCTTAGCCTACAGATAATTATTTCACTCTCTTTCTTTTTGTATTAAGACAATGATTATAAGAAGCATTGTGTCTGTAATTTGCCCTCGCTAATACTGACACCCTTCTTTCTTCTTTTTCTTTCTTTCTTCTTTTTCTTTCTTTCTTTCTTTCTTTCTTTCTTTCTTTCTTTCTTTCTTTCTTTCTTTCTTTCTTTCTTTCTTTCTTTCTTTCTTTCTTTCTTTCTTTCTTTCTTTCTTTCTTTCTTTCTTTCCTTTCTTTCCTTTCTTCCATTGTCAACAGATTCAAAGAGTGAGTATTAAAATCATCAAATCACATTTTATTGGTCGCTTACACATACAGTGGGGAAAAAAAGTATTTAGTCAGCCACCAATTGTGTAAGTTCTCCCACTTAAAAAGATGAGAGAGGCCTGTAATTTTCATCATAGGTACACATCAACTATGACAGACAAAATGAGAAAAAAAAATCCAGAAAATCACATTGTAGGATTTTTTATGAATTTATTTGCAAATTATGGTGGAAAATAAGTATTTGGTCAATAACAAAAGTTTCTCAATACTTTGTTATATACCCTTTGTTGGCAATGACACAGGTCAAACGTTTTTTGTAAGTCTTCACAAGGTTTTCACACACTGTTGCTGGTATTTTGGCCCATTCCTCCATGCAGATCTCCTCTAGAGCAGTGATGTTTTGGGGCTGTCGCTGGGCAACACGGACTTTCAACTCCCTCCAAAGATTTTCTATGGGGTTGAGATCTGGAGACTGGCTAGGCCACTCCAGGACCTTGAAATGCTTCTTACGAAGCCACTCCTTCGTTGCCCGGGCGGTGTGTTTGGGATCATTGTCATGCTGTAAGACCCAGCCACGTTTCATCTTCAATGCCCTTGCTGATGGAAGTAGGTTTTTACTCAAAATCTCACGATACATGGCCCCATTCATTCTTTCCTTTACACAGATCAGTCGTCCTGGTCCCTTTGCAGAAAAACAGCCCCAAAGCATGATGTTTCCACCCCCATGCTTCACAGTAGGTATGGTGTTCTTTGGATGCAACTCAGCATTCTTTGTCCTCCAAACACGACGAGTTGAGTTTTTACCAAAACGTTATATTTTGGTTTCATCTGACCATATGACATTCTCCCAATCCTCTTCTGGATCATCCAAATGCACTCTAGCAAACTTCAGACGGGCCTGGACATGAACAGGCTTAAGCAGGGGGACACATCTGGCACTGCAGGATTTGAGTCCCTGGCAGCGTAGTGTGTTACTGATGGTAGGCTTTGTTACTTTGGTCCCAGCTCTCTGCAGGTCATTCACTAGGTCCCCCCGTGTGGTTCTGGGATTTTTGAGTGAGATCTTGCATGGAGCCCCAGATCAAGGGAGAATATCAGTGGTCTTGTATGTCTTCCATTTCCTAATAATTGCTCCCACAGTTGATTTCTTCAAACCAAGCTGCTTACCTATTGCAGATTCAGTCTTCCCAGCCTGGTGCAGGTCTACAATTTTGTTTCTGGTGTACTTTGACAGCTCTTTGGTCTTGGCCATAGTGGAGTTTGGAGTGTGACTGTTTGAGGTTGTGGACAAATGTATTTTATACTGATAACAAGTTCAAACAGGTGCCATTAATACAGGTAACGAGTGGAGGACAGAGGAGCCTCTTAAAGAAGAAGTTGCAGGTCTGTGAAAGCCAGAAATCTTGCTTGTTTGTAGGTGACCAAATACTTATTTTCCACCATAATTTGCAAATAAATTCATAAAAAATCCTACAATGTGATCTTCTGGAAAGAAAATTCTCATTTTGTCTGTCATAGTTGATGTGTACCTATGATGAAAATTACAGGCCTCTCTCATCTTTTTAAGTGGGAGAACTTGCACAATTGGTGGCTGACTAAATACTTTTTCCCCCACTGTATTTAGCAGATGTTATCGTGGGTGTAGCGAAATGCTTATGTTCCTAGCTCCAACAGTGCAGTAATACCTGACAATACAAAACAATACATGCAAATCACAAATATAGAAATATTAGAACGAGCAATATAACTAAAGCAATATAAGAAATATATAAATATTAGAGTGAGCAATGTCAGAGTCCGGAATATAAATACGAAAGCCACTGTATTGTTGCCTTACAACCTGGAATTAAAATGGATTTTTTGGGGGTTTGTATCATTTGATTTACACAACATGCCTACCACTTTGAAGATGCCAAAAAAATTTTTTGTGAAACAAACAAGAAATAAGACAAAAAAACTGAAAAATTGAGCGTGCATAACTATTCATATACATATGCACATGCACGTACCACTTTTCCGTTATTTATTTTTTAGAATTTTTTGAAACAAGTTATTTTTTTCATTTCACTTCACCAATTAGGACAATTTTGTGTATGTCCATTACATGAAATCCAAATAAAAATCCATTAATATATATACAGTGCCAGTCAAAAGTTTGGACACACCTACGTTGTAGAATAATAGTGAAGACATCAAAACTATGAAATAACACATATGGAATCAAGAGTGTGCAAAGCTGTCATCAAGGCAAAGGGTGGTTATTTGAAGAATCTCAAATATAAAATATATTTTGATTTGTTTAACACTTTTTTTTGTTACTACATCATTCCATATGTTTTATTTCATAGTTTTGATGTCTTCACTATTATTCTACAATGTAAAAAATAGTTAATATAAAGAAAAACCCTTGAATGAGTAGGAGTGTCCAAACTTTTGACTGGTAGTGTATCTATATATGATGTTGTGTATAGATATTATGGGAAGTATATGAATAGAAAAGGTGTGTACAGCAGTAGTTATATAGCATAGGCCTTGACTAGAACAGGGGTTCCAAAACTCTTTGACTCAGGCCCCCCTTCCAGCATTGGGGAACATCCCACACCCCCCCTGTGCGTGCGCAAGCACTGTTCATGAAACAAACGGTTCACTCCCCTCTTGTTGGCGGAGAGAAAATGTTGCAGGTTTAAAGCTTATTTCCTGCAATTCTACACATTTTGTCATGGTTTGCAGAGAAAATTATGATTTTTGTGCAATTCCAAGACATTTTGCCATGCCTAATGTGTATTTTTGTGATGGTTGAGTGACTCGAACATGTTTTCAAAGCCAATGATTGGGATCAGGGAAGTGTGCATAACCTGTTTTTATACACTGCAGTCAGAGGCAATAAATAAGAAATGTGCAGGCAAAAATTGGTTTCTTTGAGTATATTGTGGTGCCACTGTGTACCAAGATATTTATTTATGTGTGCATTTATAATGTAGCAGAATATGCTGATGCTGTAACTTAACGTAACTTGGTTGAATTTCTCTCCATGGTACTACTAAAGGAGACAGGCGGAGTGTGCTAAAACTGCTCAGATCCAAATGGCCCTCCTTACTGGCAAATCAGCGGTCGCTGCCACTAACAACCTGTACGAAGAGCTGGGGGACAGCACCATGTAAGCTTTATAATATATATCATCTTATCCCATTATGTGGGTTCTTGCAGATTCTCTGTTTAATTTAGAATTGGACCAATTTTCCTGGGCGTGATTGGGTTCCCTGATCAAACATACGCTACTGTAGACATTGTTTTAAGTTTATCTGTGAGGTTAAAGACATGCTGTGTTTCAGTGTAATTCTTCACGGGGGCAACTGGGCAAAGCTGTTATCACCGTTCCATGGCTCAGCAGTTTCCTGCCTTCCAGATACGCTCGCTTCCATTAACTATTAACATAATATAATTTCATATGCAAGGAAAATACAATCTGGAATATGAAATGTTTTTTTTTTTTTTTACTGTTCAAGATGGAGTACGATTGACTTCAAACCAGACCGGCCAGCTCTCTGAAAAATAGGGGGAAATTAAGGTCAATTTAAGATAATTTAAATACTTATTCATAAGTGCCGTGGTGAAACATAATTGATTTTATCGATAAGGTTGTTGAGTGGCTCAGCCACAATGTGGCTGCAGTCATTGTAGGCAGATATCGAGCAGTACAGGGTTTGGCTTCATGTGCTGCTGCAAAGCCATAAGCCATTGGTCCTGATCACATGGAGCACAGGCTGGAGTCTAGAGTTACTTTAGATTAACTGGTTAACTGCTCTGCTAATCAAGTAGCCCTCAGTGCTCACTTGTAGCTTCCTCCTTATCTGATCAAAAACAATGCAATGGCAGAGTGAATCGTTTTTTAAATGGTCAGCCATCAACCAGGCGGTTGACATTCAGAGAATGAAATCTGCTATTACCGGCAGTAAAGCCTGTAGCATTTCTGTGATTCATCCTGCTTTTCCTGCTATACTCATCTATCTTATTGCCTACTTTCCCTTCCTTGGCCTCCAGAGTGAAGTGAGTACTTGTGTTGTATCGCTAGGTTGTAACTGTGGAGTCAAATCTGTGAGCTGTGAAAGTTGTGCAGTTGCTCATTAGAGTTTTTGTTTAGTCTCTGCTTCTTGTCTGTTGTTGGCTATTATTCAAGTAGGAGGCCCTTTTATTGTATGTAGATCAGTGGAGGCTGGTGAGAGGAGCTATAGGAGGAAGGGCTCCTTGTAATGGCTGGAATGGAATAAATGGAACGGTATCAAACACATCATACATATGGAAACCACATGTTTGACTCCGTTCCATTTATTCCATTCCAGCCATTACAATGAGCCTGTTCTCCTACAGCTCCTCCCACCATTTTCCCAGGGTGAACTATTCCCTGTGTTTTGATCTCTTCAGTTACTGTCCAAAACATACAGGTAACTGCCAAAATAAAGGAAACTCTTCAGTAAATTATGGATACAAAGTATATTGAAAGCAGGTGCTTCCACACAGGTGTGGTTCCTGAGTTAATTAAGGAATTAACATCCCATCATGCTTAGGGTCATGTATAAAAATACCCAGTTGCCCATTATTTTGGCTACCATGGCTAGAAGAAGAGATCTCAGTGACTTTGAAAGAGGGGTCTCAAAGGAGCATAGTGGGTTTAAAGGGTGTGTGTGTGTGTGTGTGTGTGTGTGTGTGTGCGTGTGTGTGTGTGTGTGTGTGTGTGTGTGTGTGTGTGTGTGTGTGTGTGTGTGTGTGTGTGTGTGTGTGTCTCAGTGTCTCAGTCACCACATCTCAACCCAATTGAACACTTATGGGAGATTCTGGAGCAGTGCCTGAGACAGCGTTTTCCATCACCATCAACAAAACACCAAATGATGGAATTTATTGTTGAAGAATGGTGGCCCAACGCCCTATTAACACACTTTTTGTTGGTGTTTCCTTTATTTTGGCAGTTACATGTAGATCGTGTCAGTCTGGCAGTTGCAGTCTCACTTTGCTTTGTAACTTTTTAGTAGAGGAGATAGGTCGCTAAGCTTATTTGTTGGCAGTAAGGTGTAAATGGTAGCCTCAGATAAACAACCTTTTTCTTTGGGAATGATCCCTTATTCTGACTGTCTCATTACACCTTTTCTCTCTCTATTATTTCAAGTATTTTTCTCCTCTGCCATCTCCATGAAAGCAGGAGCAAGCACTGTCTGCTAGAGGAGGGTAACCGCCAGAGGCTCATAAGCACATTTGCCAGACGGGCCATCGCTGCACACAAGCATTCCAGTGCCAATGTGATCCTCCTCAACAATATGCCCAAATCCGAGAGTAACATTACGTTATTCTCGGACGAGAACCCCCTAACCACCAAGAACCCCCTGTTTGACGAAGGCACGGGCACGCTCAGCAGCCCAGAGATCCTGGGGCAGCACCAGAGGACGATGGACCTCCTGGGGACCTATTCCCCCCCGCGGGCCCCTGCGGTCCTCAGAGAGGGCCCCTTCTTGAGTTTCAACTCCGGGGGCTCGGGCCACTCCTGGACACTACCCTCCAGGCTCCACAGGAAAGAGATGTGTGATGCTCTGAGTAGACAGGTAGACCCGGTGCAGTGGGAGCTGGAGCTACTGAAGACTGAGCTGAAGGACAGTAAGGACATGCTGGACGGCCTGGACTGGGGGTACCTGGAGAGCAGCACCTACGTGGAGCCCAAGCCCCTGTCGGTGAAGGAGCAGGCCAGGCAGTTTGAGCAGCAGGCCAAGAGGGAGATGAAGCAGAGGCAGAGCCGTGACTCCCAGGGGTCTCTCTCTGCTGACTTCCTGGTGGGATTGGGGTTCGACAGCCCCCAGCACCGGGCCAGAGAGGACCGGCAGTCTCTGGACTCCATCCTGGGTAGAGGCAGAGAGGACCGCCAGTCTCTGGGTTCCATCCTGGGTAGAGAAAGCCCCCTGCACCACCGCCAGTCTCTCGGCTCCATCCTGGGTAGAGGCAGAGAGGACCACCAGTCTCTCGGCTCCATCCTGGGTAGAGAAAGAGAGAGCCCACCATGCATCATTATCACCCAGAGCGATGGTAGTCCACCCCCCAGACACAAGCCCACTCCGCCCGTTCCGCGCAGGTTCAGCTCCAGCTTCTCCAACTACAACTCAGCCTCCACCGAACCCTACGAGGTCAACCTGGAGGTCATCCCCGAACCCCCAGATGTGCCCCCCCCTCCTCCTCCCCAGCCCAGCTCCCCTCCCCTGCTGCCCTCCACCACTCCCCCCTCTATGCCTCCTCCTCCCAATTCCCCCTCCCCCCTTAACTACGGCAAAAACCCTGTCCCACCTCCTCCTCCACCTCTCCCTCCTCCCATGTCCCCTTCCCTCAATCGTCCATCTACGTTTGTGCTTCCCCCCCCTTCCCGCTGTGACCACCCTGAGGCCTGTGTCCCTGCGCCCTCCCCCGCCGCCCCTCCCCATCGACCCCGAGCCCCCCAGGAAGGAGCTGAAGGGGATCCTGAAGAACGTACAGAACATCACCGACATAGAGAAATCTGTTGCCAACATGTGGATTCAAATAGACAAGAAACAGATGCTTCCACAGGGCGTCCTGAAGCCACGATGGTCTGTCGATTCTGTGGACTCTTTATATGGTGAACTAGACACTGCAGAGACCGTAGCCCCCACCACAGCAGAGGTACAGGCTGAGGCTCTGGTTGGAGAACAGTCGGAACAGGTGCACGTCCAGCCAAACATGAAAATGAACTCCATAGTGGAAGAGCTGGAGAAACGCTTCCCCTCTCAGTCCACTGCAATGTGACTCTCTCTCCTTCTATTTCTCTTCAGTTTCTTATTTTTTGCTTCTTCATTTTGTGTTATTTTGCAATTCTATTGTTTGTCATTTTTTGGTTGTCATGTATTTTTTTTTAAGGGAGTTGTTTTCAATCTGATATGTCGATTGATATTTCTTTATATATGAATTGATGGCTAGTCTTGTTCAGTATCATAGCTTAGCCTATAATTGTATGGTTTTATGGTCACCTAAAGATGAAAATAATCTAGAGAATTCTACCCATCCATTTCATTAAAAGGAGAAATGGTATTCATTTCTCTAAAGTTATTTCAACCATTTTGAGTTCCATGGTAAAATCGCATAAGGAATTTCCCGACTTGAGATATGAGTATACCAAACATTAGGAACACCATCCTATTATTGAGTTACACCCCCTTTTGCCCTTAGAACAGTTTCAATTAGTCTGGGCATGGACTCTACAAGGTGTTGAAAGAGTTCCACAGGGATGCTGGCCCATGTTGACTCCAATGCTTCCCACGGTTGTGTCAAGTTGGCTGGATGTCCTTTGGGGGGTGGACCATTCTTGATGCACATGGGAAACTGTTTAGCATGAAAAACCCAGCAGCATTGCAGTTCTTGACACACTCAAACCGGTGCGCCTGGCACCTACTACCATACCCCATTCAAAGTCACTTAAATATTTTGTCTTGCCCATTCACCATCTGAATGGCACACACACAATCCATGTATCAATTGTCTCAAGCCTTAAAAATCCTTCTTTAACCTGTCTCCTCCCCTTCATCTACACTGATTGAAATGGAGTTAACAAGTGACATCAGTAAGGGATCATAGCTTTCACCTGGATTCACCTGGTCAGTTTATGTCATGGAATGTTTTGTACACTCAATGTATAATTTGCCACAGAACATGGGATTACTCCACTCCACTGAGTAGCTATCGTATATGTGTTATATAAAGCTTTGCTCGCTAGCACACCACATGTTATCTCTTCTTCTTCTTCTTCTTCTTCTTCTTCTTCTTCTTCTTCTTCTTCTTCTTCTTCGTCTTCTTCTTCTTCGTCTTCTTCTTCATAGCATACGAATTGGATTCGTAACATAGCATACAAATTGCAAAACAATTATAATATAACTATATATATATATATCTTTTTTTTTTCCAGGATGCAACATATCATATGAAATGGATGACATAGTACACAGAAAACTGGGACCCGTTTTGGCTCGTGAGCACCACTTTCAAAACTACTGGCAGAAATTATACAAAAGTTCTGGAGCATCACTTGAACAACGTCCTGTCTAGGATTAGGACAGTGCCTTTCTTCTGCTGAAGGAGTCACAATATGAAGACAAAACACTAGATTTAGTGCTGAGATCAAAGTCAGCAATGTTTCACATTAACCACGTTTCCATCCACAGTTTTTATGCGCGTGAAGTCATAATATATATATTTTTAAAATAATCATGACAGCTGTGATGGAAACAGAACGTTTTGATGTAATTTTATAAATGCGGAGAGATCATTTGTTCATTCGACATGGTGTGATCTTTTTGTGTCGATAACATGTATTATGCGGGAAATGGCAGTGGAAACGCCTTTATGCGCAAATATTGATATAATAACCATCATATCGAAGTCAATTTGGAGTCACGCAATGATATGTTGTGTTGTCCTCCCATTACGACTCTGGAAACCATGCAGTTTATTAGGCTACAAATTAAATAAGTTATGATGAACTTCACAGGGTGGTGAAAGTGCACAGTGATGAGCTTGATGCTCCTTTCCAATAAATATTGAGGGTCTTATTCTGGTGACATGATGATCGATGCTTGACTGCTGTGACATGATGATTGATGCTTAAGCCGGTGACGACGAACGCTGAAGCCTGCCCGAACAAGGAGGGGAGGCAGCCTCGGCGGAAGTCGTAACAGTACCCCCCCCCCCCCCCCCTTGACGCACAGCTCCAGCAGCGCGCCGACACCAGCCTCAGGGATGGCCAGGAGGCCGCGGAGCAGAGCGAGCCGGATGGCGACGGTGGAAATCCCACAACAGGGAGGGATCGAGGATATCCCTCACCGGGACCCAGCACCGTTCCTCTGGACCGTACCCCTCCCACTCCACGAGGTACTGAAGGCCCCCCACCCAACGCCTCGAATCCAGGATGGAACGGACAGAGTACGCCAGGGCCCCCTTGATGTCCAGAGGAGGTGGAGGAACGGACCAACCACCATCGGCCTGAGGAGAGACACATGAAACGAGGGGTTAATACGGTAATCAGGGGGAAGTAAGAACCTATAAGTGACCTCGTTGATTCTCCTCAGGACTTTGAACGGCCCCACAAACCGCGGGCTCAGCTTCCGGCAGGGCAGGCGGAGGGGCAGATTCCAGGTCGAGAGCCAGACCCGATCCCCCGGTACGAAGACCGGGGCCTCACTGCAGTGGCGGTCAGCGTTGGCCTTCTGACGATGCACAGCGCGCTCTGGTGCCATGGTGCCAGAACCGGTTGGTAACCTAAAACACATTGGAATGGCGTTAGATTAGTAGAGGAGTAGCGGAGAGAGTTCTGGGCATATTCTGCCCATGGCAAGAACACCGACCACTCCCCCGGCCGGTCTTGGCAGTAGGATCGCAGGAACCTACCCACATCCTGATTTACCCGTTCCACCTGCCCATTTGACGGGGTGGAACCCAGAGGTCAGGCTGACCGAGACCCCCAGACGTTCCATGAACGCCTTCCAGAACTTGGACGTGAACAACGACCAGGATGGTGGTGTTACCTTGGGAGAGGGGAAGATCAGTCAAAAATCAACACTTAGGTGAGACCATGGTCGTTTTCGAACTGGTAAAGGTTGTAACCTACCCGCTGGGAGGTGCCTAGGTGCCTTACTCTGGGCACACACCGAGCAGGAGGAGACGTACACCCTCACATCCTTAGCCAAGGTAGGCCACCAGTACTTTCCGGTCAGGCAGCGCACTGTACGACCGATACCTGGGTGACCAGAGGAGGATGATGTGTGTGCCCAGTAGAACAGACGATCACGGATAAGAGCAGGCACGTACCGCAGCCCAGCTGGACACTGAGGTGGAGATGGATCTGTGCGTAATGCCTGCTCTATATCCGCATCCATCGCCCATACTACCGGTGCCTCAATGCAGGAGGCCAGGAGTATGGGGGTGTTGTCTCTGGGCCTCTCCTCTGTGTCATACAGCCAGGACAGTGCGTCTACCTTCACGTTCTTCGTACCCGGAATGTATGACAGTGTAAAATCAAACCGGGTGAAGAATAGGGCCCACATGGCCTGGTGAGGATTCAGCCTCCTCGCTGCCCGGATGTACTCCAGGTTATGGTTGTCCATCCAGACGAGGAAAGGGTGTTTCGCCCCTTCGAGCCAATGCCTCCACACGGTCAAACCTCGGACAACAGCCAACAGCTCCCGATCACCAACGTCGTAGTTCTGCTCCGCCGGGCTGAGCTTCTTAGAGAAGAAGGCACAGCGGCGGAGCTGGGGTGGCGTGCCCGAGCGTTGAGATAGGACAGCGCCTATGCCTACCTCGGACGCATCCACCTCCACTACGAACGGTAGTGATGGATCGGGATGGGCCAGTACCGGGGCTGAGGTGAACAGACCCCACAGTCTACTGAAGGCCAGGTCAGCCTCAGCAGACCAGCGGATCCGGGATGGCCCACCCTTCAACAGGGATGTAATGGGAGCTGCGACCTTGCCAAAGCTCAGGATAAACCTTCAATAGTAGTTGGCGAAGCCAAGGAAGCGCTGCACCTCCTTAACCGTCGGCCAATTACGCACGGCTGAAATGCGATCTCCCTCCATCTCCACACCTGAGGTGGTAATGCGGTATCCGAGGAAGGAGACAGACTGCTGGAAAAACAGACACTTTTCTGCCTTGGCATAAAGGTCATTTTCCAACAGTCGGGCCAGCACTTTGCGAACCAGATGCTTGGGGCGCGTAGTGGAATACACCAAAATGTCATCGATGTAGACCACTACACAGCGACCAAGCATGTCCCGAAACACCTCGTTCACAAAGGACTGGAAGACGGATGGAGTATTCATCAAACCGTAGGGCATCACCAGGTATTCATAATGCCCCATGGTTGTGCTGAATGCTGTCCTCCACTCATCTCTCTCTCGGATACGCACCAGGTTGTACGCACTCCTGAGATCTAATTTGGTGAAGAAGCGCGCCCCATGCATTGGAGGGGAGGCAACCTCGGTGGAAGTCGGGACAGAAACGGGCAGACCCCTACCAGGACGTCCTCTGGCTGCCAGCAGGTTGTCCAAATGGATGGCCATGTCCACCAGTTGCGTGAAAGACAACATGGTGTCCCGGCAGGCTTGCTCCCGTCGGACGTCCTCCCGCAAATGGCACCGGAAATGGTCGATCAGGGCCTGCTCGTTCCAAGCGTCCGAAACTCAAACGCAAAGTCCTGCGCGGTCCTCGTCCCCTGCCTCAGGTGGACCAGCCGCTCGCCCGCCTCTCGACCCTCGGGCGGGTGATCAAAGACCGCCCGAAAGAGGCGAGCAAACTCCCGTAGTTCTCCAACACGGCTCCTCCTTTGTTCCAAACTGCGTTGGCCCACTCCAGGGCTTTCCCCGAGAGGCAGGAAACGAGGACAGACACCTTCTCCTGCTCCGATGGGGCCGGCCTGACGCTGGAGAAGTAGAGCTCCAGTTGGAGGAGAAATCCTTGGCAGAGCGCCACCGTCCAGTCGAACGCCCGTGGTCGGGATATCTGGATCCCGCCGGGTGCTGGGGTGTAGGTGGCTGGATCCGGTCCCCCAGCATTGTGGAATGCTTCTGGACCCGTGCCACGACTCCAGGCATGAACTCCTCTCCCACTGACTCCATAGCGGGTGGGTGATTCTGTGACGCGTGTGATAGAAGGAGTCAGGCGCAGGAGGGTAAATCACAGAATACAGAGTTTATCCCGTCGTCCACAAATGCGCTGGATAGCAACACACGAAAACAGGCACAGGGGAACTATCTACC